CTGTATTGGACAAAAAAAGAGGGGGTACAAGTGAGTGGGCTGTACGGGACAGTTTCTGCACCTCTGCCTTGCACCCACCCCCCTTTTTTTTAGCACAGGGGATTGAAGCCAGGGCCTTTGCACTGGGCTACATCCCCAGATCTTTTTGTTTGTTTGTTTGAGACATAGTCTTGCTAAGACAGAGTCTTTGCGGGGCTGGGCTTGAATTTGTGAGCCTTCTGCCTCAGCCTCCCAGAATGCTCTCCACCATGCCCACCTCCAATTTCCCTTTTATGGTCATTAGAGTAGCCATTAATGCCTAGTCACAGCTATATGGTTTTTCCTTAAAAAAAAAAATCCTTTTTTTTTTTGAGACAGGGTCGTGCTATGTAGTCCAGGTTAGCCTTGAATTCACTATGTAGCCCAGGCTAGCCTTGAACTCAGGGCAATCAGCCTGCCTCAGCTTCTTGAGTACTGGGATTACAGGTATGTGCCACCATGCCTAATTTTTTTCTCTCTTTTTAAAGTTGATTATTAATATTTAAAGTTGTAGGGCCAGGGATGAAGCTCAGTGGCACAGCTCCTGCCTGGCAAGTGGGAAGACCTGAGTTTGATTCCTGGTAAAAAGGAAAAAAAATTAACATTGCAAATCTGTGCATGGTGGCACACACCTGTAATCCCAGCACTGAGGCAGAAAGATTGCTAGGAGTTTGAGGCAGGCCAGCATGGGCTATATAGTGAGTTCGAGGCCAGTTTGTACTACAAAGCGAGACTCTGTCTCAAAAAAAAAAAAAGTTGTAAACCAAGGAATGATAAGCAAGGTTAAAACAAAGCAAAGACAGTTTTATGCAGATGGAAAATAGATTTGCAAATTGAGAAACACAACTCAGGTGGAACTAGACTTCTGATAAAGGAAACCAGGCTTGGGCTTTTATCAATGCCAGCTGTTGGAAACTGATGCTACAAGGGTAGTCATGAATCGTGTATGCCCAGGGGGGTGTATAGGTTAAGAAGCAAAAAGGTCACTTGAGGAATTTCTCAAACTTTGCAAGGTATTATTAGATTCTAGAAAATTATTCCCTCTGGCTGATAAGATGCCTGTGTGGGGTCCTTCCTCCTGTCAGTATACCTCTGAGGCATAGGAAAGAATTTTGCTCCTTTAAACCAACAAAAACATTCTGCCACCAGTTTAACTCTGGTCAAAGTGCACATAGCAAAAAAAAAAAAAAAAAAAAAAAAAAAAATCAAAGTGCATAAAAGACTATATAAGTCCGAAGAGCTGGCATGTGCCTGGAAACTCAGCACTTTGTGGGTTTGAGGACAGGAGGGTGGCAAGCTTGACCCCAGCTGGGCAATTTAGCTAGACCCTTTCTCAAAAATAAGAAGTAGCCAGTATGGTGGCCCATACCCATAATCCCAACACTTGGAAGCTGAGGCGGGAGGATCACTGTGTGTTTGAAGCCAGCCTGGGTTACACAGTGTTCAAGGCCAGCTTGAACTACATGATGATGCCCTGTCTCAAAGGCCCACACAAACAAAGTAAAAAACAGGATAGGGATATAGCTCACTGCAAAGGTTCTGGGTTCAATCCCCAGTACCACCAAAAAACAAAACCAAAAATACTATTCAGGGCTGGGGATTTAGCTCAGAAGGCTCTGGCGCCTGCCTTGCAAGCACAAGGACCTGAGTCTGATCCCTGGTACCAACAAAACAAAATAAAACAAAACAAAAAAAACTATGCAATGGCCCCTGAGTTACCAGTCCATCCCAAGTTCCCAGAACCATTCCTGAAAAGGGTAGTGTCACGTAAAATTTCTGGTGGATCTTTCCAGAAATTTTACATCTACAGTCTATATTTCACATAAATAGAAGTATATTTCTACATCATTCTGAATTTAATAGAGCTTGACAATTCATACTGAAATGGCACACAGAGGGCAGGCCCTCAGATGAGGAAGAAGGGCACTTAGAGAACTGAAGGGAAGGCAGTTTATTATCCCTAGTGGGCCCAGCGGAAGTCACCTTCCAGAGTCTGAGCCCTGTTTCTAAGTCTGTTCTCATATTTATCTGTTCTTCAGCCAGGGCAGGGGAGCAAGCAGAATTTTACAGAAGTAAAACTTAGCAAAGGGTCAGGAAGTGGAGGTAATGTTGCTTTTTAAATTTTTCTCAGTTTATCTTTAAGACATAGGGCAAAAGGGAGGTACAGGCAGCTGTTGTTTCAGGGGTTCATCTTTCAGGCACACTGACCTTCATGGGTTTACAGGAAAGGCAAGTCCTGAGATAGGAGGGGCAAGCCTTGAGATCTGTCAGCCTTGAGACTGTCAGTCTTTGTCGGGCTTTGAGACTGTTAGTCTCTGCTTTGTCTTTTGTTCCTTTCCACTTCAATATCAGCACACAATTTGACTTAATTTTTTAAAAATGTAACATAGACTAAGTGTGCCAAAATTAATCAAACCCATTGCATGGGGGTAGATTTCACTATGACCATTTTTTAAAAATTACCTGTATTTGTTACCTCTTAAAGAACAATGTGACCTGGGCACTCCATTTCCACTAACGGGCCTTGTTCCAAATTATTTTCCAAACAACACTGCAGTATACCTAGGAAGTTTAGTTTATTTCTCTAAACAAGACTTTTCAGTACTGGGATCAAACTTGGGACCTTGTGCTTTCAAGGAGGGCAGTGGAAGCACTGAGCTAAATCTCCACCCCTAAACAATACTTTTTGGAAGACAAGCCCTGTGGAGTTTCTGCCGTTCAGCTGTTTCAGTTTAACCTACTTAATTCTAGAAGCATAGTACGCGCAGAATTAAAACTACAGGAGGAAAAGTTTTTAAAAAGTAGTTTCTACAAGATGAAAACTCAAACTATTGTAGCAGATGTTCCTTTAAACACCAAGCTATCTCAACACTCCTGAGACAGAAGATTTGGTCTACTAAGGAACCCAGCTTGATAACTACACACTTATTTATTTATTGGTACCAGGGATCCAGCTCGGGATCTTGGGTTTGCAAGGAAGGCGGCAGCACCACTGAGCTAAATCCCTGGCCATAACTACACACTTCAGACTTCACAAAGTTAACAGTAAGTTACATGTCTTACCATAAACATCTCAACCTATTCAGCCAAGGTGCAAAAGCATTGCTAGCTCTGCTTTAGCACCTAAAGTATCACAGTATCACTTAAAAGTAGAAAATCTTATCTCCCCCTTAAGCAGTTATCATGCCATACAGACTTCAATGTTAACAAAAAAAAAAAAAATTTTTTTTTGAAGACATCAGTGGGAATGAAGGTAGAGTACTGAGCACGCATCCGAGTCCTTCTTTGGACAGAGCTTAGTCGCTTCTTCCAAGCATGACGTGTCGTCATCTTCTTCCAGGGGCGACATCTCTTCAGTGACAGCCGCGGTGGTTTTGTTCAGTGGTGGGATCATCCTCATCAATACCGAGACTCAGCTTGATCATCCTGTAAATCCTGTTCACGCGTCTGGGGGTCTTCCAGACTGAAGCCAGAGGACAAGAGCGCAGTTTCATAAAGCAAGATGTCCAGACCCTTTACAGACTTGTCATTCTTGTCAGCCTCGGCCTTTTGCCTCAAGGTCTCCATGATGGAGTGGTCGGGGTTGATCTCCAAGTGCTTCTTTGCTGCCATTGTTGAGATGTCTCTCAGGGCTTGGACTTTCGTGGTTCTCTCCATGTTTGCCATCCAGCCATGTGTGATTGTCACAATACAGCACGGAGATGACTGTGACCATCCTTAATTCACTGCGAGGGCCAACATGATCTTGCGAAGGACTTCATCATAATACAGTATTTTCCAGGGCAGCAGTTTTTCTTTTGTCATAGAGGAGAAAATCTTTCTCAAAAGCTAAGTCAGGCAGGTGGATGGGAGGTTGGGTGGCACGTTTCAGGAAATCAAACGCTGATCCCTTAAGACTAAATACACAAGAGCCAGGGATTTAATTCAGTGGTTCCGCCACCTCTCTCTTGCAAGTACAAGCTCCTGAGCTCGATCCCCAGTACAAAAAAAAAAAAAAAAAGATTAAATACACAAGAGAATAGTCGACTGAGGACTAAGGACCCCACAAGCTCCCTCAAAGATTCAGCTTGGGGTGGAGTTTAGATAACAGTTGTAGTGCAGGCGCCAAGTGCTGAATCACGAGCTGAAAAGAGTCAACTTTGTTTTGGAAATCATATCATCTGGTTGTGGGTCTCGCACTTCATCTAGTATCATTCAGTTTTTCCAAGTCTTGTTCAAATCCTCCAGGCGAGACCCAGAAGGGCGGACTGGATTGCAAAGCCCTAACATTTTAGAGGGAGCAGCGCCACCGCGAGGCCAGATGAGGTGGAGGCGGCGAAGGTGGGCTCCCTTCCTTTGGCTACAGGGAAAGCAAGCGGAGGATGGGCGGTGGGTGCATGGCTCAGCCTCCGCTCCCCTCACAGGTTTTCGTAGCCCACCTGGAGGACCTTAATTCAAGTGTGGCAGTTTGTTCTCACTGGGCAGTCCATTACGCCCTGTAAAGGACGGGGGTCTTTCGCTCATCTGTAGGGCCGCACTGACTACTCAAGACGGGGCAAAACCACACACAGGTGTCCTGCTCTTACGCAAGAAAAAGTCTATCAAGAGAATAAAGGGGCCCTTTAAGTGGTTGTTTAACGCTTCACACACCAAGTTCAGGTTACAGTCAGAATGCGCTCGATTAGCACGCATCCGGGGCCTTCAGAATTAACGAGGGTGTGAACAGCTGTTTAGTTCGGTCTGAGGGGGCGGGGTAGGGTGTCAAACTCGCCCTATGGTCTGGAAGACTACAAGTTCCAGAATGCACCTCTTCCCCCCAGCATAGGAAGAGGCCGAGTTGTGGGAGTGCGGCCTGCTGAGAATTGTAGTCATCAATCTGTTTGTGATGCAGGGTGTACTAGGGGGAAGGGAGAGGGAGTAAACTACTATCACGTGACACTCGGGCTCAAGTGATTGGCTCAGCCTCCATTCAGGAGTTATGATTGGCTAGTTGAAATAAGAACGACGCCATTAGAGGCGGGCTGAAGAGGAGCGCAAGCGCAGTGTGTTGCGAGTCTCGGGACCCCTTTCGGAGAGACCATGGCGCTCAACAAGAATCACTCGGAGGGCGGCGGAGTAATCGTCAACAACACGGAAAGGTGAAAACACTGCGGAAGGATCCTGGAGAATCGAAGGGCGGGTGTCGAGGATGTGGGGAGTGGGCTGCAGGCAGTGGAGAATAAACCTTAAAGAGGGCAGCTGATGGAGCGCTGGTGGCCGGGCGGGGCTGGGGGGGCGGGGATGCCGCGATCAGCGGGGGCATAGTGCGGTTGGGCAGCTGGATGGGGACGGGATTTGGGTAAGTGGAGCCTGGGGGTCATTCTTAAACCCGTTCGTAGACTCGGTGACTGTAAGGGCCGGGTAGGGACTTCAACAAAAATAATTGCCCTTTATTGGGCGTTTACTATCTTGTTACTACCCGGTAGCAGCTGCGACTCTTCCACCTTATTTAATACATAAATCTTGTGTGGCAGTTTATTACACACATTTGTGGGTAGGGGATGTGAGGCCCAGTGAGGTTAAGTAGCTTACAAAGACGTGGATTCCGGAAAAGGAGCCTTGGTCCCAAAGTCTGTAAGTTTAGCTGCCGGTATACAGCCTTCCAGTAGATTCCAGAAGCTCTCCTATTCCAAGTGAAAAACTGAGGCCCCAGAAATAAAATTAAGTAGGTAACACTTGTCAGCTCCCTAAGGTAGTTGCTGGGAAGACGGGGGGTCTTTTGTAAAGGTTAGCTCTTGCTTTTCTCTTTTGTTTTTGTTTGTTTTTTGAGCAAGGTCTTACTATGTAGTTAAGGCTGGCCTTAAACTCACTAGAGCCTGCTTCAGCCTCCCGAGTGCTAGGATCACAGGCGTCCATACTACCCCTTGCTTGCCTTTTTCTCTCCAGTATCTGTTGGCTCATTCCCTCTCCAGAGCCGAGGTCTCTCAGTTTAAACGTTGTGTTCCATCCTCTCCACCCCCTGCCCTCTGACCTCTGTGCTCCTTGGACCCTTCTCTCTCTCCTTAGGCATTGAGAATTGGACCACCCAACCCTGGGTTGAGCTGTGCTCACTCTCTATTGCCTATTGAAGGCAGAGGGCCTTAGGAGGAGCCTGAATCCTCAGGGAAGATGTGGTGGAGTCAGAGTTTAGGCCCAGTTAAGGCGGACGCGCGCAGCCTGTGTCCTGTCACTTGGGAGTGCTTGAGTTGGAGGAAAAGGAAGGCGGGCAGGGACCCAGGCCTCAGAATGCTATCTGCACCTTACCTGCGCAGCCCAAGGGGCCCAGCCTGTTCTTGATAGTCATTTCTTTCCTCTTTGATGCCCCTTTTATTGGGCCGCTTCTCTTTCTCACCCTACCCAGTCAAGAGAGTTGTGGTATTTGGGAGGGGAGGAGGTCAATAAATGGAACAAAGTGCATTGAATTTTTTTTTTTTTTTATCATGTAATCAGAGAAACATCACATTGCTCACTTGTTTGTTGCATCTCTGAGTGAGAACCAGTTCCTGGGCCTGGGCAAATACTTTTGATGTCGCTTAGCACTGTCTCTTGGGACTTTCTTTTTCTCTTAGTGAGATTTTCTGGGACAAGAATCTATCTTTCCTGCTAGGCCTCCTACCTGGCTCAGGGCTATTAAATAAAAGTCTCCTTGTTTTGTTTTGTTGGGTTTTTTTTTTTTGTTTGTTTGGTTGTTTTGTTTTTTGTTTTTTTTTTTTGTTTGTTTGGTTGGTTTTTTGAGACAGGGTCTCACTATGTAGTTGAGACTGACCTGGAGCTCACTATGTAGCCCAGGCTCCCAGGCTGGTCTCGAATTCACAGTGATCCTCCTGCCTCAGCCTCCCAAGTGTTGGGATTACAGGTGAAAGTCTCCCTTGTTTTAGCTGGAGCATGGTGGTACATGCCTGTAATCCTAGCACTTGGGAGGCTGAAGCAGGAGGATTGCCAAGAGTTTGAAGCCAGCCTGAGCTACATAGTGAGTTCATGGCTAAACCTGAATTACAGCACAACCCTGTCTCAAAAACCTAAAAAAAAAAAGAAAAGAAAAGTAAAAAGTGCTTTAGCCTCATTTCTGTAAAAAACTGTGCTCATAATAACAGAATTTTAAGTCCAGGGTTTCAACTTTAATATTTAAAATAGTGAAATGTCAGCCTGGCATGGTAATACACTCCTGTACTCTCAATACTTTGGGAGGCTGAGGCAGGAAGATCTCAAATTCATGCCAGTGACTTAGGGAGACTTCATCTCAGAAATTAAACAAAGCTGAAGACCTTGAGTTCAGTCATCAGTAAAAAAGAAAGAGCAAAGGGATGGTGGGAAAGAAGGAAAATAGAAGTGTGACTGTGTGTGGTGGCTCGTGCCTGTAAGCCTAGATGCTTAGGAAGTCAAACAGTTTGAGGCAAGCCTGGGCCACTTGGTGAGATACTGTCTTTCTATTTTGAAAAGACTAAGGATGTAGCTCAGGACTCCCGAATTCAGTCCTCTGTACCTGGGGCAAGGGGTCGGTGGGTGTATAGAAGAGAGAACCCAAGTCATCTCACCCACTTCAAGGGGTGAGGGCATCTCTGAGAGCTCAGCAGTAATGCTGCAGTGCTGGTAACGTGGACACTGTATAAATGGCTTTAAGGAAATTCTCTGGGCCCCCACTTGCTGGTCTCTTCCATGACTGTATTAATGGTTTCCTCACAACTCTGTTGAGACAGCGTGCTAAGCAGCCTTTCTTAGTGCTCGAGGGTGACAGGTAACTTCTCCAACTGTCTCATCAGGCCCCTTCCTCTTTACTCTTCTCAGCATCCTCATGTCCTACGATCATGTGGAACTTGCATTCAGTGACATGAAGAACGTGCCAGAAGCCTTCAAAGGGACCAAGAAAGGTACCGTGTACCTTACCCCTTACCGGGTGAGTTGCCCAGCCTGAGAGTTTGGCTGGACGGTCCCGTGTCTCTTGGCTTCAGCCTCGTGTGTCTGGTGGCCTCTAAACCCTGGTGAATGTTGGTGCCTTGCTTCTCCTGTTTGTCTGTCACATGCTCTTCAGTTCTAGAACCACTGGGCTCTTTGTGCAGCCGAGCTGAATGCTGCGTGGTGAATCTTCAAATTTCAGAGGCGCTGCCACAAATCTCTAGAGTGGATGCTGCTGCCAGGATGACTTCGGTTTGGAGTATCCTGGGAGCCCTGCATGCATATCCAGAGTGAAAAATGTGCTAAAAACAGGATACAGTGGCTTGAGCATGGCCTCCAAACTGGGCAGAGTGCCCAGCAGAACCCCACAGAGAGAAGTGCCAGACTGCAGTATGGGCCGTGCCCAAGAGCTGGCCACACAGACCCTGAGAAAGCAGTATGAATGGAGTTTCAGAGCAGGGTCACTGCCCAGCTGCCTACTGGTGAGACCTGCAGATGACTGCAGGGAGGGGAGTGCATCGTCCTGTTTCGAAAAGTCACCATGGCGAGCAGATGCAGTGACTGTCAAACCCCCGTCTCTGGAAACTCAGGTCTCCACAGTCAGATTGAGTCCAGCCCATGGTTTTGAAACCCCTGGGGTTGTCCAGGCGCACAGTGGAGAGCTCTTGCCTTGGGGCAGAGTGCCATCTGCAGGAAGGTCACTATGGCCACAGTGGCTGAGGCCCCACCATGGTTCTTGGCAAGGCTCATGCCGATTCTGCCACTCCTGGAGCCCTGCCCACCCTGCCTCCACCTCCCTTTCCCTAGTACAGCAAGTCCTGGACTTACGAACATTCACGGTGCGACCTTTCACAGATGAACTGTATAAGACTCACTGTGGGTTCACAGACAAAACCGACTTAAAAATAGTTCTCAGAACGGAGTGCATTCGTAAGTCGGGGACTTACTGTGTTGTAGGCCCCTTTCTGATGCCCCACATGTGCCTCCTCCTCCACCACTTTGGTGACGGCAGTCTGTCCTGCTCACAGTTTGTGATCAGCACATTCCTGTGTGTTCGCGAGTGCCCAGGCGGCACTGAGGCCTGTTTTTTGCAGAGCTCTCTGGGAGGACCTGGTGCAGAGGGCCTCTGGGTCCTGGGACAGGCTGCCCACCTCAGCACTGGCAGCATACTCATTGCACACAGAAAATGGGTGGGAAGCGATAGCCCAGTGGGCTGTGGTTCTGGCACAGAGGGCCCTTGTCTTCTCCCCACAGGTCATCTTTCTGTCCAAGGGGAAGGATGCCATGCAGTCCTTCATGATGCCGTTCTATCTGATGAAGGACTGTGAGATCAAGCAGCCTGTGTTTGGCGCAAACTATATCAAGGGAACTGTAAAGGCTGAAGCAGGAGGTAGGTGACAGGGGAGCTCAGGAACACAAATGGGGCTCCGAGGAGATGCTCTGGGTGTCTCTGACTGCCACCTTGGGGACACTGCCTTTGGGCACGCACTGCCTCAGCTTTGTCCATTTCCCAGCTCTGTATTATCTTCAAGAAGAATGCCCGCAGCTGGGTATCACACATGTGATGCCAGCACTGAGGGAGGCTGAGGCGGAAGGATCACAAGTTTGAGTCCCTCCTGCAACTTGGCAAGACCCTATCTCAAAAAGTTAAAAAAAAAAAAAGCCACCGATTTAGCTGAGCGGTTCTGCCACCTGTCTTGAGGGTACAAGGTCCTGAGTTCGATCCCCAGTACAAAAAAAAAATTTTTTTTTAAAGGGCTCCCTAGCCCTCCCACTGTGGCTCAGTGGTAGAGTGCCCATAAGTTAAAATCTCCAGTACCACGAGAAAATAAAAACCAAGAACTAAAAAGATAATGTCTAGAGCTGGACAGGGGGGCACAACTCTATAATTCTTAGTTAATCAGGAGGCTGAGACAGAAGGATTGTAAGTTTGAGGCCAGGGTAGGCAACTTAACAAGGGCCTCTCTCAGAAATAAGAGGGGCCAGGGTTTTAGCTTAGTGGTTCCACTGCCTGCCTCGTAAGCACAAGGACCCGAGTTCAATCCTCAGTACTGAAAGAAAGAAGAAAGGCTGGGGATGTAGCTCATGGTAGAGCACGTGCTTCACATGTGAAGCCCTGAGTTCAGTCCCCGGTACCACAGGATAAAGGACAATTTGGTCATCCAGCAGCACTGAACACACGTGGGTTTTGGTTGCCCAGAGCTGGGAGATGCTGGGATTAATGTTGGTAGCTCAGTCACCTCTGGAGAGGGTGAAGTCAGTGGAATGATTGACTTGTGCACTGGGCAGTGTGCACAAGTGTAGATGTGTGGAGGGACTGTGTCCTGTTGCCATGCAGAGGCAGCTGTCCCTGGGGAGATTGGACAGGACCTGAACCTTTGCAGACACCGGAAGCTCCTGTGACAACCCTGGCCCTGCACACCCAGCCAGGCCCAAGCTTGCTATTGCGGGGCTCTTGATTCCCCTTAGGGCTGAAGCCAAGCTGGAGTAGGCAGGGTCTGTCCTCGGCCCCCTCAGGATGAGCGATCTGCTCTGAACTTGAAACATTCGTTATTGCCAAGCGTGCTGGCTTTATTGCGGGTGGAGAGAACCTCGCACACTGTTAGCTGTAAAGCCAGACCGTGTCACCCTGTGCTCGTGCTCTTACTGGGCTGGGGTGGGAGGACAAGCGTGTTCTATGGAGAAGCCGCTGTTCCAGAAGGTGACGCCGCACAGCAGGAGCCAGGCCAGTATGTAGCACCAGGTGGTCCGTGAGTGACGGGCCCGAGAAACAGCTGTGGGAGGAAGGCTGAAATCCCAGCCTTTGCCCTCTGGTCCCCAGGCAGTGGGGTGGGGGTGCTGGGAGGACACGAGCCATCACTGCAGACATAACTTGTTTTCTTTCCCTGTGCTGTTCTCTTACTGTCCTTGCCCCTTCTCAGGCGGCTGGGAAGGCTCCACCTCCTACAAGTTGACCTTTACAGCAGGGGGTGCCATTGAGTTTGGACAACGGATGCTCCAGGTGGCATCACAAGGTATCCAGGCTCTAAACGTTAGGGGCCAAGGCCACACTGAACATGTCAGGTTTTTACTTGACCTTGTTTTCCTTTGATTTTGTTTGATGAGCACCAAGAGATAAGTATCTGGGTCCAGCCGACCAGCTGGGAGATGGAGAGAAAGCTGTAACTCTCGTCCCCTCTTACACCGCAGAGCCTGGGCTTCCTCTGCCTTGAGCAGGTCTACAGAAACCTGACAAAGCTGTTTGGACTCAGCGTTTTACTGTGGCCTCATAAAAACAAAAGACCCAACCACTAAACTAAATTAAGCAACCATTAAACTCCCACGTGTTCCACCACCCCCTGGCTCCTCCTCCACTCTGTCCCGAGGGCCCCCATATCACTCACCTCCCATCTCCTGCCCGGCTCTGGCCTCTCCCCATCCTGCATCCCCAGACCCAAGTGCAAGTGTGGAGTGGCATGGTGAGAGGACACGTTTGTGGGCACGGTCCTGTGGTATTCTGCGGGGCCACCCTCCCCAAGGCCCGAGGCAGGTGACACTCAGAGCATCTCTCTCTCCCCTTGTACTTATAGCCTCCAGAGGTGAAGCCCCCAATGGAGCCTATGGGTACCCTTACATGCCCAGCGGGGCCTATGTCTTTCCCCCGCCAGTCGCCAGTGGAGTGTACCCCTGCCCTCCTGGCTACCCCTACCCACCGCCCCCAGCTGGTGAGTGTGTCCTTTTCTGCCCACCCTTAACCCCACCGACTAAGCACCCCTTCCAGGCAGGGGATGCGAGGGAAGACCTGTTCCTTCGCTTCAGAAATAACTGCTGCAGAGGCTTGGAAGGTGCCCCGAGGAGCTAGACGGGGCAGCTTTTGGGAGGTGGCCTTCTCAGAGGGCGAGGTCTGCTGCTTACTGGGTCCCTGTCACTCTTGTGGAGCAGAATTCTATCCAGGGCCTCCCATGATGGACGGAGCCATGGGATACGTGCAGCCCCCACCACCACCTTATCCTGGACCCATGGAGCCTCCAGTCAGCGGCCCTGATGTCCCCTCCACTCCTGCAGGTGAGGCCCCTGGGCCACCGGAGCCCCAAATGAGGGGAGGTCTCCTGGCCTAGAGACCACCCCAAGGAACCAACAGGGTGGTGGCCTAGTGGCAGAGAGCTGGATTGCGGTGCCTGCTGTCCCTGTGCTAGTCGTGTGGCTTCCCTCATATGTCCCAGTGTTCTCATCTCCATAAACAGATGGTCACGGGACCACTGGTGGGCTTGTGACATGGGGTGAGATGTGACAAGGGACTGGAAAGGACAGTGCCAACACGCAGCTGGTGCTCTGGAAGCTGCTGCTTTTGCCGATGGCCTGGGTCATCAGTGGTGGGGACTGGGGCTCACCGGGCTGGATGGAGAACTGCGGACACCTGTCGTGTGTTTGCTCCTGTAGCTGAGGCCAAGGCCGCAGAAGCAGCTGCCAGTGCCTATTACAATCCTGGCAACCCGCACAACGTCTACATGCCCACGGTGAGTGGCGAGTGGCCTCCCCTCGGCCGCACAGGCTAGGGGTCAGGGGAAACCTTGGCTCATCTGAACCTCTGACTTGCTCTTTCCTCCCTTTAGAGCCAGCCTCCGCCACCGCCCTACTACCCCCCAGAAGATAAGAAGACCCAGTAGACCCCACCCACCTCCCTGCCTCCCACCCTCGTGGCTCTTTCCTACCCCTCCCCACGGGGCTGGCTGCCTCTGTACTGGGAGGCCAGGGAGAACCTTGATGATAAACAGTAACCAGGAACTAGCTTTTTTGGGAAGGTGGGGCCCCGGCCTCACATGCCAGCTCTGCCATGCCTTCCTCTCGCCCTCTCTGGGGCTCTCCTCAGGACCATGGAGAGTCCTGTGATTCCTGTTCCACTCTGCTTCCCACGGAGGGACTCTCTGGCCACCTCCTCCACCACGGTCCAGCCCCCACAGTCTGGTAGCAGTGCCGCACTCAGTCTCGTGAGCTTCACGAGACCAGCCGTGTGTCTTTCCCGCCTGTCTTGCCAGGGCTCGTTCACATCCCTCCTGCTGGTCTGTGCCCGGCCCTGGGGGGGCCACTGTCCTGACACTGTCGGCGCGCGTTCCATTCGGCCAGGCCCAGGCCCCAGTCACGTCCACCCTCCCTACCCTGTCTGGACAGTGTGTTGCCGCCTGACTTCGGGGGCTTTGCTACAGTCCAGGGGTTGGGTGGTATCGGGCAAGACCCCTGCAGTCGAGCCCGTCTGCTCTCTGCTAGCGATTCTGGAATTTGGTTTCCTGCTTATCTCCTTTCCTTCTACAAGAGGCTTCCTGTCGGGAGCCGTGGAGTGCATGTCTGTCCCGTCATGCTGTTTGGGGGGCTGAGAGCCAGGGCTCTGCCCTGTGTGCTGATCACCACTGCCCAGGCCCCTCAGCCTGCCGTCCCTGAATGCAGGACCTTCAGCCTCCCCTGTCCCCAGATGCACGAAGATTTGCTCTCGACTGTTTCTGGATTGACCACAAAGTGAGGAGATGGATATTTAAAGAGAATTCCCTATTTATTTGACAAAAATTTAGTTAATATATTAATGTAAAATAAACCCTGTTTGCACCTTGATTTGTTTTTGCTAAAACTGTGAAATAGTAAAAATGAAGTATCGACTCTACCTGTGTGTGTTGATCGACGAGCCCTTAGAGCTGCTGAGCCATGAAGGCTGTGGAGGTGTGTTCCCTCCCTGAGGGAGAGCCACTGGCCCTCACCGTGTGTTTGTCCCGTCCTACCCAGAGGCCCAGCCTGCCACCCACACCTCATCCCCTGCTGGCTCCAGTTAGGGGTGCCCTGGCTGGGGCGTCGGTGCTGGGTGGGCTGTGGTGGTGTGTGCGCTCCTGCCAGCCTGCCCTTTTGCTTGGGGCTTAGGGGAGAGTGGGAAAACCAGACCCCAAGAGCAGGCTGGCGCCCCACCCCAGCCCCAGGTAAGCAGGTCAGGGAGAGCTGGGAAAACTCAGTGCTGAAGTGATCCGGTTGTTTTCCTGTTCCTTGGAGACTATCTCCCTATCTTGGAGAGACTGATGTGCAGCCTCTCCTGCCTGCCCAGGAGCCCCCACTCTAGCGTTTGAAGGAGCACTGTCCAGGGGCAGGGGCCACGAGGCTATCCCTGGCCAGTACAGTTCCATCGTCACCTCCATGGAATGTCACCTGTAGGGTGGAGCAGGCTGAGCAGCTGCCGGCCAGGAAAGGAATTCGCACCAGAGCCTGCCCCACCCTGCTCAGGCCTGGGGACCTTTCGGAGAAGCCTGCCAAGAGAGCTTCATGGACCCAGGTCAGCTTCAGGGGTGCAGGGTGTGGACGGGGCGGGGCACGGCTGTGCCTACCAGCAGCACTGGATCTGTGGTCCTGGGGTGGGGGAGCCTCACCCACTCACAGGGTCCACTTTCAGCTCCAGCCTGGGTAGGGTCCTGGAAAGGGCAGGGCACTTGCAAGGCAGCTCCTTCAAGGCAAGGCGGTGACACCCTGACCCTTCCATCCCCCACCCCTCCCTCCACCCTCCACCGGCAGAGGGTGGCAGTCTCGGGGCTCTTTGCATCATCCTGTGGCTTCCCTGTCTTCACCCCACAGCAACAGGGCCGCAGAGGGAAGGGCAGAGCTGGCCACCATGGCCACCCGCCTCTCCCACTCCCAGCGGCGTCCTCCCCTCTTGCGCCAGGCCATCAAGATAAGGAGACGCAAGGTTCAAGACCTGCCGGATCCCCTGGCCCAAATGACTCAGAAGGTAGGAGTGGCCCCAGTGGGAAGAAGAGCCAGCCCAGGAGGCCTTAGTAGTCTTGGGGTGTAGGAGCCTGGCGGTGGCACCACCTCCCTGCCCCAGGGCAGAGCCTTCTGGGTGGGCAGAGGGGGTCCACCATGTGTTCTCTGAGCGTCCGTGGACCTCTGTGCTTTGGGTCCTGAGCGTCTCTGGCTCCTCCTCTCGGTGTCCTGACTCCTGTGCCCTACTCCTCCAGCTCCAAAGGCACCAGCTCTGTAAGGCAGGTTGTCCCTGTTGCAGGGTGGGCTGCCTGGAGATGCCCTGAGCTGCCCCAGCCTGCTGGGTGTCCCCCGCAGGCATCCACCACAGCTGCTGGGCCTCACTTCCGCTGCTGGGGTGAGGAGCCGGCGGCCCAGCAGATAAGCGTGCTGTTTCCTCTGGGGCAGGAAGGGGAGGTGGGGGCAGGTGGCAGAGAGCCTGTGCTGCTGGGCCAGCTGGGCACCCATGGACCTCAGGCACAGCGGGCAGCGCAGCCCAGGGACTGGACCCCCGGGAGGCCTGCTGTGGGAACAGGTGTGGAGCATGGGTGGGCACGGAGGCTAGGCTGCCTGGGCCTTCCTGCCTATCTGAGAAGGCCTCCAAGGACACCTGCCTTTCCGCCTTGCTCCCCAGGTCAAGCCTGCATCCCACCACTTCTCCCCCAAGGAGGTAAAGTCGGAGTGATGGGGGTGCTGCGGGGTGGGGCAGCAGGGCCTGCATCTTCCTGAAAGCTCGGCAGCCACTGGCCAGGGCTGCTGACAGCCCCCCGGGGGAGGAGGGAAGTCCTCTGAGCTTCAGGCCCCTCCGCCACCGCACAGGAGGCGCCTTCCCTTGCTCTGGGTATGTGGTGCCAGGGATGGCTGGTGGGGCTGCTGGGGTGACTGACCCTGCTGTGTCTCAGAGGGACCTGCTCTATGAGGAAGCTCTCTACACTGTCCTGCACCGCCTGGGGCAGCCGGAGCCCAACCATGTGGTGGAGGCCTCCGAGCTGCTGCGCTACCTGCAGGAGGTGAGCCCAGCCCTGACCCCACCCATCTTCCTTGGGCCTGGACTCGGGAGCCCTCCTTTCCTGGTCCAGCTGCTCCCCCACCATCTGCCTCCCCACCAGGCCTTCCAGATGCAGCCTGAGGAGCACCAGCGCATGCTGCAGCAGGCCAGGGAGCTCGAGGTATCTCATAGGGGAAAGGGAGGGCCTGGGAAACCCAGCCCTCTTGGGGACTCAGGCCACGCCATCCTGTCCCTCTAGAAGCCGATATTTTGTCTGAAGGCAACAGTAAAGCAAGCCAAGGGCATCCTGGGCAAAGATGTTAGTGGTGAGTTTGGGCCTGGCACCCTGAGGGGCTCCTCCTTCTCATCGGTCTGATCTAGGATCCTTGTGGGGTGTCCCCATCCCCCTGAATGCCCCCAGGCCTGGCCTCAGTGCTTGGCATCAGGGCTGGGAGGGGCTTTCCCTCCTCTCAGCTCTAGGAGGAAGGAGGAACTGATGAAGGATCCTGGCTGACTCCCTGCTGCCTCCTCTTCCCTCCTCCCAGGATTCAGTGACCCCTACTGCCTGCTGGGCATTGAGCAGGGGGTGGGTGTGCCAGGGGGCAGCCCGGGGTCCCGGCGTCGGCAGAAGGCTGTGGTGAGACACACCATCCCTGAGGAGCAGACCCACCGAACCCAGGTCATCAGCCAGACGCTCAATCCGGTCTGGGATGAGACATTTATTCTGTACGTGGCCCTGCCCCAGCATCCCCTGTCTGGGGCTCCTCTGGCCATCAGGGTCTCCAGGCAGTGAGATCAGCTTTGTGGTTCGTTGGAAGGTGCTTGGCCCTGAGCTCTCCAGGTAGTGTAGACAGACAGTAGTCCAGACAGGGTAAGCCAGTGACAGAAATGCCCTGCATGCTGGTGGGGGAAAGAGGCTTAGGGGGCCCTCTTGGGGAATGGAGGGGTCACCCGAAGCCTTGCCCTGGAGGAGGGAAAGGTGCAGGTTGAGAGGGGAGCAGGAGCTGGGGGAAGAGGCTGAGACAACACGATGAGCGGTACTGGGGATGCAGCTTGGGAGGACGGGCTCTGAGCTGAGGTCCTTGTGCTCCAGGGTTGGTGTGGGGGTCCTGCAAGGACCGCCAGCCCTGCGAGGCCCTCAGCCACACCCTCTTCTCCCTGCAGGGAGTTTGAGGACGTAACAAATGCAAGCTTTCACCTGGACATGTGGTGAGTAACATGCCTGTCCTTAGATGGGCAAGAGAAGGGCCAGGGGTGCTGGGTTGTGGTGGTGTAGGTCTCCAATCCCAGCACTTGGGAGGCTGAGGCAGGGGGATTGCCATGAGTTCAAGGCTAGCCCAGGCTACATACTGAGACTCTGGGGGTGCAGGGGAGGACCAAGGCTGAGTCCCCTGAAGGGATGAGATACCCACTCTGCCCCTTGCTCAATCCTATGGCCCACAGGGACATGGACACGGTGGAGTCTGTCCGACAGAAGCTCGGAGAGCTTACAGATCTGCATGGACTTCGAAGGTGGGTGCCATAGGGTTCACAGGGAAGGAGAGGGCTCCTTCTGTCCTCCCACAATGCACACGCCAGATGCTGGGCTTCAGGTGCCATAGATGGGACGGATTCCAGCCTGATCCCTCAGGCGCTCCTTCCAAGTCCCTCACCAACCCTCACCTGAAACAGGATCTTTAAGGAGGCTCGGAAGGACAAAGGCCAGGATGATTTTCTGGGCAACGTGGTTCTGAGGCTGCAGGTGAGGGGGAGGGGGAGGGGCCCAGGCAGCAGGAGAGAGGAGGGGGCTTGGGGAGTCCTGGGAAGGTTCCAGGCTGGCCGAGCAGAGCCTGGAGTCGCCCTGCCCGCTTCCCCGCCCTGACTGTGAGGGATCTCCTGCCCCCCACCAGGACCTGCGCTGCCGGGAGGACCAGTGGTACCCCTTGGAGCCCCGCACCGAGACCTACCCAGACCGTGGCCGGTGCCACCTCCAGTTCCAGCTCATTCACAAGCGGGTAGGACTGTTCCTGCTGCTCAGGGGCAGGCTGGAGAAGGCTGGCTGTACCCGGCACGGGGTCCTCTTTACTCACAGCCATGCTGGCCTCGTTACAGAGGGCCACGGCAGCCAGCCGCTCCCAGCCCAGCTACACCGTGCACCTCCGCCTTCTGCAGCAGCTCGTGTCCCACGAGGTCACCCAGCACAAGGTACTGCCCTCCCCAGACTGAGTGCCACCGGGCTGCTTGTCAGACCCTGACACCCACCCCTCCACTGTTCCCTCAGGTAGGCAGTACTTCGTGGGATGGGTTGCTGAGTCCCCAGGCCACTACCATCCTCTTTCTCCATGCTATGCAGAAGGACCTGTCTGACTTTCACCAGTCCCTGGCGTGAGTGCCCGGCTCTGTGCAGAACCCCTGGGGGCTGTTGGAAGATGCTGGCCCTTCCTCCTCCACCCTGTCTGCCAACCTATAGGCTGGCAGCCCAAAATCAGGGTGCTTTTAGGCCCAAACTATGTTTTCAAATTTGAATCAGTTGCCAACTTTTAAAACTCTGGAAAGCTGGGCATGGTGGTGCAAGCCTGTAATCCCAGCACTCGGGAGGCTGAAGTAGGAGGACTGCCACGAGTTCTAGGCTAGCCTGGTCTACATAGCAAGTTCAAGACTAGCCTGAACAGGGCTGGATATTTAGCTCAGTTGTTCCGCTGCCTGCCTCGCAAGCACAAGGACCTGAGTTCGATCCCCGGGACCAAAACAAGACTAGCCCAACAGCATGAGACCCTGTCTAAGCAGCAATAATGATGATGATGATGATGATGATGATGATGATGATAAAAAATAACAACAACCACCAAAAACTCTGAAGATCTCACATTCAAACCAGATGTCCAGCTGTTCATGTAACAGAAGCACTGGAATTTCAGGGTTGGTCAGATCAGAGTGGCAGGTCCTCCTCTGTCCAGCACAGTTGCCCTCAGACCCACTTCCTTATATCTCCTGAGTCCTTCTGGGAATTTGACTCTGCCCGTGCCTCTACCTCACCACATTTCCCCTTGCCTTAGCCTCCAAGTCAGCAAATGAACAAACATTAACTGACAAGCTGGGTGTGGTGGTGGGCACCTATAATCCCAGCACTTTGGAGGCTGAAGCAGGAGAATCAGTTCAAGACCAGCCTGAATTACGCAGTGGAGACTCTGACTCAGACAAACAAAAACAAAAACAAAAACAAAACATTAACTGACACTTAGCAAATATCCCTAGGGCCAGGACGGATTCTGGGAATAACAGGAAGTCAGACATTCCAGGGTCTGTGAGAAATAGGGCCACACCCAGAGTGCTGGCCAAAGAGAGAAAGGAATGAGAGCAGAATGTGCCCAGGGCCTGGTCTTAGCATTGGGGATGCAAAAGGAGGCCAGGGAGAGGGAGGGCAATTCTAGGTGGCCTTGCTAAAGACAAGGGTGGGGCCAGGCTGCAGACCCCTGATGGTGAGGGGGCCTGGTTTGCCTGCAGAGCCCTCGCTCTGCTGCAGGTGGCAGCAGTGTCCAGCAGGGACCTCAGCCTGTCTTGGGTTGCTCTTCTCCCCTCCCCTCTACTCTTGACTTGAACCTTGTCCAGCTCAGCTGTCACCTCTGTCATTTCCCCCTGAGCTGTCTAAAGGGAAGTTCCAGCTGGTGTTTGCTGTATGTGCCTGAAGGCTCTATCCCTAAATCTGATATTTTCAGTTGAAGTAAATTCCAAAGTTATGAAATCACAAACTGCCAAATGAAAGAGAAAAGTGATTTAAAGTGGGAGTAGTAGTGCAGGCCTTTAATCCCAGCACTTTAGGAGGCTGAGGTAGAAAGATACAAAGTTCAAACCCAGCCTGGGTGACTTAGCAAGCCACTGTCTCAAAAGAGAAATGGGGTTGGGATGACAGAGAGACAGAGACAAATGATTTAGAAAACATCTGTGAGTCAGGTTCAGCCCCTAGTTTTTGGAGCAGGGGAGGTGCGGGCCCTCTGCCTGGGCCCAGCTGAGGGATTCCTGTCCCTGCAGGCACTGGCTGGCCTACAGCCACCTCTACCAGAGCCTGGAGTTCCCTAGCAGCTGCCTCCTGCACCCCATCACCAGCATTGAGTACCAGTGGATCCAAGGCCGGCTCAAGCCAGAACAGGTAGGTGTGGGAGTCGGAGGGGTGAGGGATGTTGGGCAGGCAGGGCTCAAGGAGGAACAGAGGACCCTGGGGGCCATAAACAGCTCCTGCCTCGGGGTATCTTCCTGATTGCAGCTGGAGGAACTGACCACTTCGTTCACCTCCTTGCTGGCCTATGGCCTTTCCCTCATCCGGAGGTTCCGCTCCATCTTCCCCCTCTCTGTCTCTGACTCCCCAGCCCGGCTGCAGTCCCTCCTCAGGTCAGTGGCTGCACAGACTGGCATCTGCTTTCACAGGGGTCAGGGCCGAGGGCTCAGCAGGGCAACCGCAGGGGTGGGGAGCCTGCTGGAGGCGATGGTGGGGCTGAGCAGCAGGCATAGGGACACAACCCTCTTGTCACCCAGAGTCCTGGTGCAGATGTGCAAGATGAAGGCCTTTGGAGAACTGTGCCAGGACAGCGCCCCGCTGCCCCAGCTGGTGGCAGAGGCCCTGCGGGTATGGCACCCGGCCTGGGGTGGGGGGTGGGGCACCTACCTAGGCCCAGCCACTTCTCCCTGCTCACTGGCTCTCTGTTGACAGACTGGCACCGTTGAATGGTTCCACCTGAAGCAGCAGCACCATCAGCCCATGGTGCAGGTAGGAAATGGAACAGGGGATGGGTATCAGGGTACTGGGTTCTGTAGCCCTGCTCAGCCTATCCATGTCCCTGCCAGGGCATGGTAGAGGCAGGCAAGGCCTTACTGAGCCTGGTACAAGATGTCTTGGGCGACCTGCACCAGTGCCAGCGCATATGGAATAAGATCTTCCACAAGTGAGCAGGCTCAGGCCGGGAGGTAGTGGGCCCCAGGACCTTGGTGTGTGCTACTGGGTGATAGCCAGTGACTTTCTTCCAGCGCCCTCAAGATTGACCTCTTCTCCATGGCTTTCCTGGAGCTGCAGTGGTTGGTGAGGTCCTTGACTGTCCCCAGGCCACCCCCTCTGCCCAACTCCTCAGCCCTGCCCACCAGGCCTTTCCATGCAGGTGGCCAAGCGGGTGCAGGACCACACATCGGCAGTGGGCAGCCCTGTGTCTGCAGAGATGGGCGAGAGTCTGTTCCAGCTGTACATCAGCCTCAAGGAGCTGTGCCAGCTGGGCCCAGGCTCTGCAGACAGGTGAGCTGCAGGCTGCTTGGGAGTGGGCTGGCCCTGGCTATCCCTAGGCTGAGCCCCAGCTCTCTCCAGGGACGGAGTCCTGGCCCTAGATCATTTCCACCGCTGGTTCCAGCCAGCTATCCCTTCCTGGCTGCAGAAGACATACAGCGTGGCACTAGAGCGGGTACAACGCGCAGTGCAGATGGACAAGGTGGGGCAGGAACCTCGGGGCACGGTAGAAGCCGGTAGCCCACTCTGAACATCCCCTCTGGGACTCTTCATGCCAAACGCCGCTTCCTGTTAGCCTGGGGTTCGCCGTGGCTTCCTTTGCCCACAGATCCTGTAGGCTAGGGGGGTCTGGGCAGAGCCTTGCTTGGTCCCCCTGCAGTCCTCTGCCCATCTCTTTGCTTGGCATAGAGAGGATGGATTTGTCCTGTCCCAAGACCCCCTTTCTTAGAGCTCCTCCTTTCTCCCAGCTGGTGCCTCTGGGTGAACTGACCAAGCATAGCACATCAGCTGTGGATCTGTCCACCTGCTTTGCCCAGATCAGCCGCACCGCCCGGCAGTTGGACTGGCCAGACCCAGAGGAGGCCTTCATGATTACTGTCAAATTTGTGGAGGTGCAGCATCTTTCCCACCTTTCTGGCACTGTCTCACTACGACCCTGTCCCATTTCTCGGGCTCTCCCACCAACCGCCCCCGAGACCTGCATCCTAAATGCCCCAAAGTTGCAGATTCCCATCCCATCCCTCCCCATCTACGCTTCCTGGAGCCCCAACCACTTACCAGTCCCTTCTGACCCACGCTGCCCAGGACACCTGCCGGCTGGCCCTGGTATACTGCAGCCTTATAAAGGCCCGGGCCCGAGCACTCTCTGCAGGCCAGAAGGACCAGGGTCAGGCAGCCGACATGGTAAGGGCCTGAGCTGAGGGCCGGGGGCTGGCCAGGGTGGATGTGGAGCCTCCCAGTGCTGGCTCTGTTCAGAAGCCTGTGTCCCTCTGCCTGTGCCTGTTTCCAGCTGTGTGTGGTTGTGAATGACATGGAGCAGCTGCGGTTGGTGATCGGCAAGCTGCCCACCCAGCTGGCATGGGAGGACCTGGAGCAGCGGGTAGGGACCGTGCTGGAGCAGGGACAGTTGCAGAACACACTACACACCCAGCTTCAGAGCGCATTGGCGGGGCTGGGCCATGAGATCCGCACTGGGGTCCAAACCCTGGCCGAGCAGGTATGTTGTTGTCTGCCAGCAGGACCTGGGTAATGTGCAACACCAGCTTCCTTCCTCAACTTCACCTCGGGCCCCAGGTGAACCTCCTGAGCTCCCTCTCGGTCCCTGACCTCCACCTGTCCACCACTTTGTGTCCCCAGCTGGAGGTGGGCATTGCCAGACACATCCAGAAGCTTGTGGATGTCAAAGAATCCGTGCTTCCCGAGGACGTGAGTGACCCCTGCTTTTGGACCTTCCCTGCCCTGCCAGCTCTGTGGGTCCAGGGATGTGAAGGAGGCCCAAGGTGGGCAGGGGCTGAGAGCCTGGGGTGTTGGAGATCAGGCCCCAGCTGTGAGCGTGGCGTGTTGCCTCCCTGGGCCTTGTTTCCTCTCCGGATGCTCCAAAGTGCAGGCTGGGTCTCCACATGGTCTCCTGGCACTCGTGGCCACAGAGAAGGCGCAGGCATCACAGATCAGCAGGCCTGGGTGCACATCCTTCTCAGTGCCTTCTTGCTCTGGGTCCTGCTTATATGGGCAGCCAGCGACCTCTGTCTCCTCCTCTAAGCGGGGAGAGTGCTTCACACCTGTGATTCGTTCATTCATCAGGTTCCATAAACACTCACTTTGACCCAGGCATTGATTTAAGCACTGGGGATAGATCAGTGGACAGCATGACAAAAATTCCTGCTTTTCTAGGGCTTCCGTTTTGTGGGGGGAATAAAAGTAAAGCTGAGTTTATATAACTATCTGCGACTATAAATATTCACACAGACGTGTGTGCATTGCATACTTACATGGTGTGTTAGATAAGCCCGAAGAGAACAACAACCACCAGGTCGTTGTGGGAGTGTCACAGGGCTGTATTTTTAAGCAGTGCCTGGGGAAGGCCTTATTTTGAGGGTAACAGCTGAGTCAATATCTACAGGAAGCAAGGGAGAGAGTCATGAGGCTTTCTAGAGAAAGAGCACTTCCGGCGGAAGGAACAGTAAGAGCAAAGGTCCCGAGGTAGCACTGTGGCAGGTACACAGGCTATAGAGGCAGCCAGGGTGGCCACAGCGGGCGTTCCCAACTGTGCACACAAAGCTCCTGGTCCTCTTTCCTCTCCCAGGGTCAGGGCAAGGGATTGGGGGTAGGGCCCAAATGGACACGAGCCAACTGGGCGCCTCACTGCCTCTCCAGGCCATTCTGCCCTTGATGAAGTTCCTGGAGGTGAAACTCTGCTACATGAACACCAACCTGGTACAAGAGAACTTCAGCAGGTGTGTGGCAGCCCCTGGCTGCTGGGGCCCCTGTCCCCCATTTCTCCGAAGACCCTGCCCCATCTCTCCCGGGCCTCGGTGTCTATGGAGGACCGTGATGTGAATCCTTTGTGTGACCTCCCTTAGATGGTACAACCAGCCTTGCTCAAGTGCTTGCTTCCGGGAACCGGGAGCTCACTACTTCCTTATAGCCCGCCTATTTCACACCGCCCAGCTTGGAACATTATACATTATTCTCCAGGCTGAGCCGAAATGTGTCTCCCTCAGTCCTGGCCCCATCTTTAGGGCCTCCTTGCCTGTTTCTCCTCCCTCCAGCATCTGGTGTTACTGGTCTACCACCCAAGCAACTTCCAGTTAGGGTTTCTGAAGCAGGCAGTGGGAGCTGAGTGCTCTGGGTGGCCGGGGTCAGGCTCCAGCTTCACGACTCCCTGGTGGCTTCAGGAAGTTACTCCTTTTCAGTGCCAGTCATCTCAGTTCTGCCCTCTACTGAGGACGGAATGGGCCATGTGTAGGAAGTGCCCCATGACTATTAGCTGTAGTCAAGGTGACAGGATCCGTCCCTAGGTCTCTGGTCCCCCCTCCTAGATTAATGTTCTTCTCACTGGGCAGCCATTTGACTTAAGTGTGTCAAATAAACTGCTTAAAAAAAATTTTTTTTTTTTCCTGTACCAGGGATTGAACTTAGGACCTTGCACTTGTGAGGCAGGCAGTGCTGCCTGAGCTAAATTTAGCACTGAGCTAAATCCCTGGCCCTCAAATAAACTGCTTTTAACATAGGCCTCCCCCAGTCCTTTTTTATTTTTTTTGGCAGTGCTAGTGATGGAACCCAGGGCCTCTCACATTTTAGGCAAGTGCTCTACCACTAGGCCACATCACTACATTTTTTATTTTACTTTTATTTTTGTTTTGTTTTGGTACCGGGGATCAAACTCGGGACCTTGTGCTTGCGAGGCAGATGGCAGAACCACCAGGCTAAATGCCCACCCTATTTTTTTTTTGAGACAGGGTCTCACTGTATAGTCCAGGCTGGTCTTGGACTGTGTAGCCCAGGCTGGCCTCAAACTCATGGCAATGCTCCTGCCTCAGCTTCCCAACCTACCACTTTTTAAAAATTTTTGAGACAGGGTCTTGCTAATGTGCCTAGGTGGCCTTGACCTTGCAATTAATTCTCTTGGCTCGGCTTCCCAGGGTGCTAGGATTACATGCCTGTGTCACTGTGCCTAGTGACAATTCTTTTTTTTTTTGGTACCTACCTTCAGTGCTGTACTCTGACATGTGCTATATCTCAGGTTATCCTCAGGACTGTGACCTCCTCGCTATCTGTATTGTCCCTGCAAGGTAGTAGATGCTTGTCCATGAGGTTGTTTTGATCGGATAAATTCTGGTACTGTCTTCAGTGTGATTCTGGCCCTGGGGTCTAGCCAGGTTGGTTGTGTTTTGTTGGTCCATGGTCCTCCTGAGGAGCTTCTTCACTGAGACTGAGATGCTAAAGAAGTCTTGCACCTTCTCCCCATGTGGGCCCCTTTCCCTCAGGAGACAGCCCTTACCTCCCTTCACCACCTACCTGCCCTGGCTCCTGAGGAGCAGGTAGAGGGGGAGGTAGGGTTGGGCCTGGGTCCTCAAGGCCTCCCGTTTCTCAAAGCATCTTTGCTTCCTCCTCCATTGTCCTGTCCCACGTCTGACCCCTCTGCCCCTGACCAGCCTTTTGACCCTGCTCTGGACCCACACACTCACAGTGCTGGTGGAAACAGCTGCCTCCCAGCGCAGCTCGACTCTGGCCTCTGGAAGGCTGAAGGTGGCCCTGCAGGTAATAACGCCAAGCATAAGGGCAATAGCCCTGGGGGAAGGGCGCCTGGGCTCACCTCTGATGTCTTTCCCAGAACCTGGAGATCTGCTTCCATGCTGAGGGCTGTGGCCTCCCCCCTGAGGCCTTGCACACAGCCACTTTCCAGGTAGGGGTCTTGGTGCACTCCCAGGTAGGAGGTCTGGGGGCTTGCTTTCTGCATTCACCTGTGTCCAGGGCTGGCTACCTAATTTGTGGGGCCCAGTGCAAAATGAAAAAGTAGCTTCTTAGCCACGTGTGGTGGGCCCATGTCTGTAATCCCAGCACTTAGGAGGCTGAGGCAGGAGGATTGCTGTGTTTGAGGCCAGCCTGGACTACATGGTAAATTCAAGGACAACTTGGACTATATAGCTAGACTCTCAAGAAACAAACAAGAAAACAAACAGGTGGCCCGTTATTAAAAATTACTACAAATTTTAGGATACCATAGCAGAACATTACCTAGTTTGGGCCTTTTGAAGCACTGGGCATCTGTGTGCCAGCTCTGGAGACAAAGCCCAGGAAGCTGGCCGTCTGTGCCTCTGACCATCTGCCGGGCACTTTTGAGTCTACCCCGCCCATGGTCCCAAGCAGTGCTGCAGAACTGCTCAGCCTCTGCTGTGAGCAGGTGGCAGGGCCGGCTATGCTTAGGGGTGAAGGTTCAGGAGGATGCTTGACTGTGCCATTCTAGGCTCTGCAGAGGAACCTGGAGCTGCAGGCAGCCTCCAGTCGGGAACTCATCCGGAAGTACTTCTGCAGCCGCATCCGGCAGCAGGTGAGTTTCCCTGTCCTCCTCTGCACCAACCACGGCCCACTCGTGCCATCTGCCCTCTGCCCCAGCTGACTGCACATGCTCCCCACCCCCAGGCAGAGACCACCTCTGAGCAGCTGGGCGCTGTCACGGTCAAGGCTTCCTACCGTCCCTCAGAGCAGAAGCTGCACGTGGAGCTGCTCAGTGCTTCTAGCCTGCTACCGCTGGACTCCAACGGTGCGTGGAGGCTGAACACTGGCCGCTCCTGTGAACTCTCCCCAGTCTGGGCGGGGGCGTGGCAGGGGCTTTGGACGCAGTGGTGCACAGCTGGGGTGGGACTGGGAGCACTGAGCTAGCCCCCCACCCCCGCTGGGCTGTCTGCCAGGCTCCAGCGACCCCTTCGTCCAGCTGACCTTGGAGCCCAGGCATGAATTCCCTGAACTGGCTCCCCGAGAGACCCAGAAGCACAAGAAGGATCTTCACCCGCTGTTTGATGAGACCTTTGAATTGTGAGTGGTCCCCATTCTTCTCTTGCTTCCCTGCCCTGAAGGCCCCTCAAGGACTCTGAGATGACCGCACAGGGTGCAGGGAAGGTGCACCTGGGGCAAGTTTGTTTCCCCTGGAAGGACTCCCACCTTTGGATTCAAAGGCCTCCAGGGGTCCTGTTCCTGAGGTCCTCAGTGGCCTGCTCTCTGTTGCCCTAGACAGGTGGCCTGGGGCCACAGGACCCTTGATTTAAAGCATCAGCCCATGGTCAGAGCAGGTGTCTGACACTGGGCTGACAGGCACCTGAGCCTGACTGTCCCTGCTAGCCTGGTGCCTGCCAAGCTGTGCCAGAAGGACGGCGCATGCCTCCTGCTCACCGTGCTGGACCACGACACGCTGGGGGCCAACGACCTGGAAGGGGAGGCCTTCCTGCCGCTGTGTGCGGTGCCTGGGCTGACTGGCTGCAAGGAGCCTGGTGAGGCGCCTCAGACCCGCCTGCCTCTCACGTATCCCATGCCCAACGGTAGGTTTGAGTCCCAAGGCAGGGAAGGGATGGGGCCCCTAGGAAGCGCGGGCAGGGCCCCCAGAGCAGTGCTTCTTCGAGAAATGGAAGCCACTGCAACAAGCGCCATCGCTGTTGCTGAGGAGTCTGGGAAATTTCTTGCTCTAATGGAGACCAGTGAACAGCGAGCTCAGTGAAATTATCTGACTTTCCTGGTAAGGAGGTCACAAGCTGGGCCTAAAGAGGGGCCTGGATCTCTGAGCAGGGGACATATCCCTGCGAAGCACCCCCCTAGGCTTGATGACAGGAACAGGTTGTTTGTGCACACACAAGTCAGTTCTCAGCACTTTACATATAGTAACTCAACCTTTTTTTTTTTTTTCTCTTATACCAGGGATTGAACTCAGAGGACCTTGTGCTTTCGAGGCAGGCACAGTGCCACTGAGCTAAATCTCTGGCCCTCTTTCAATTCTTAACCTTCCAATGAGACAGTACTATTATTATCAGGGCTATTTTACAGGTTCTTACACAGACAGAGTTAAATAGCTAGCTTCAGGTCTCATTTAAAAAGGTAAAAGCAAGGCATGATGGTACATGCCTTCACCTCAGGACTTGGGGCTCAGACAGGATTACTGGTTCAAAACCTGCCTGGGCTACACAGCAAGTTCAAGGGGGCAGCCTGGATTACTATGCACTGTAGTGAGATCCTGTCTCAAAGAACCAAAAAAATAACCAGGTATGGTGGCACATACCTATAATCCCAGCAGTAGGGAGGCTAAGGCAGGAGGATGGTGAGTTTATGGCTGGCCTGAGCTACATACTACACAGCAAGACCCTGACTCAAAAACAAAACAAAACCCAAAAGAATAGAATTGGGCCTATTTCTTTTCCTTTTTTTTTTTTTTTGTTTGATTTGGTTTTTTTTTTGAGACAGGATCTCACTACGTAGTTGAGACAGACCTGGAACTCACTATGTAGCCCAAGCTGGTCTCAAACTCATAGTGATCCTTCTGCCTCAGCTTCCCTAGTACTGGGATTACAGGCGTGCGCCACACCCGGGCTCTTTTCCTATTCTTAGTAAATGTAAAATCTTAAAAAAAAAAAAAAAAAAAAAAAGAATTAAATAAAATTAAAGCCAGGCATAGGAGCTCAGAGTGCACATCTGTAATTCCAGCACTGGAATGAGGAGGAAGATTCCAAGTTAGGGCTGTGCAAAGACCCTTTTATGCCTAGCACACAGTCAGTAGTACCTCAGGCGCGTCCAGCTTCACACCTGGCCAGATGTGTCCGGTGAGCTGTCTGGTGTGCCTGTTGTAGCTTTCCTGCCATGCTGGAGGACAAGGGGCAGAGTCGTGTCCTCTCTCCCAGGCACTGCCTCTCCCCAAAATCTGACCCTCAAACCCTTCTCTCCACAGGGGATCCAATCCTGCAGCTTTTGGAGAGCCGGAAGGGTGATCGTGAAGCCCAAGCCTTTGTGAGACTGAGGAAGCAGCGAGCCAGGCAGGCCTCCCAGCACGCCCCAAGGTCAGGGCAGTAACAGTGGAGGTTGGACTGTGGACTGGCCCCTGAAAGGCTGAGGTCTTCCCTGTACAGTTCAGGGAGTCCCAGCAAGTGGAAGGCCTCTAAACACTGTCAGCAGTATTTATAGTATTCATCCCGCTGAGTCCTGGCCTCAGCTCTCTGCCACATCCCAGCATGGTGTGAGCAGCATCTCTTGCCCCTGCTCCATCCTCGAAAAGCTGTCTGGTGGGGTGGGGACCAGGTGGTTGGCACTGGAACTGAGGGACAGAGCCTCCTGAGGAACAAGCGGGAACTACCAAAGATGGGGTACCAGCTGTCCCGAGGGAAGGGAGTGGCCATTACTGGAGACAGTCCTGGTATGGACTTTTGTCTCTGAGCTGGCAGGCAGTGGGACTGACACCAGGAGACAGGAGAAAGGGCAGTCTGGCTGTGTCTGCTGAGGACACCTCCTCCCTTGGACAGCTCCTGCCCAGAAACTTTCTTAGCAAAAATTAAAAAGAAAATCCATGTTCCTCTCTGAAAACCATGTTGGCCTAAGGTGGGTACTGGAAGGCTTGCGAGGCCATTTAGCCTCCTCTGCAGCCAGCAAGAGCTTCCCCAACACAGGAGCCCCAAGCTGCGAGCAGGGAGCTGGGTGCGAAGCCCTGGTAAGGTGTTGGTATTAATGGCATTTGGCCATGAGCTTTGAAGAGGTTGCACCAGGCGTGTCAGTCACTGTGGTTCTCGGGAAGGATGCCCTGAGACTGAGCATCTGCTCTGGACAGAAGCAGGGCACCCCTGCCTGTAAGGGGGCCCTGAACACTGGGAGGCAAGCTGGTCATTGTAGCTGTGATCCAGGCGGAGTCATTTAACCACAGTATGTAGAAACTGTGGAAGGAGGAAGGTGCACAGCTCTGGCCCTGAGACCCTGCAGGGGCACTCACTAAGCATTTCGCTCCTTCAGGCTCGTAGCCCACTGGAGGGCAGGGTAGGAGGGGTGTGGCTCCCAGATCCTGGGCCCTGTCCTTCAGGGGCAGGGGCAGGGGCAGGGCAAGGGGAGGCAGGAAACTTCCGTAGCAAAACCCCTTTTCTTTTTTATGCCTTTATGCAAACCATCCCTATGGGAAGGTGCTGTCTGTTCCCATGAGAAACAATTTAGGGGCTCACCACTCACAGCTGAAGATGGATCTCTATAAATAACAAAGTCACAGGACCTGGAGGTCGGTGTCCAAGGCTAATGTCCCAGCTCCTTGATCCCAACAGGTGCAGGTCAGAGGGCTTGTGAGCTCCTCTGGGCCTGAATGGGCCTGGGCCTCTTCAGCTGAGCATTCTGAGGCTGAGACAGGGCTCCTGCCCACCTCAGTCTGGAAGCCTCATTTGGGGGCCCACCCCCCCCATACAAATAGGCTACCAAACCAAGTTTATAGTTTATTTCCAATAGGTTTGCTCTATTGATTTTTGGTTTTGTTTTTTTTTTGTTTTTTGTTTTTTAAAAAGGAGAAGTTTTCACTTGATTCATTGAAAGCCCTTTCGTGCTGAGCCCAAAAGGGGGCCTGGGCCAGGGCTGACCCTTCAAAGCCCTCTCAAGCCCACCTAACCCCCAGTGCTGGGAGCGAGGTTGCTTCCCTCAGCCTGCATCGCCCTCCCGCCCCCACTGCATCTCTCTGTACAGAACAATTTAAAAATTGAGCTAAGACACAATGTACATCAGACAGGCACACACACATGCACACAGGCGCCTGCCCGAGACGGCAGGACATCAGCTGCACTCAGAGAGCACCAAGGAATGCATACAGAGCCCCTCCTGGCAGGGAGGGCAGGGTCTATGCCCCCTTGGTCCTCAGGCTGCACTCCCCAACTGCCCTGCTAGCTGCCAGAGGGAGGGGGCGGACGACACAGCGGCCGCACCAGAGGGGATGGGGCAGGGATGGCTGAGGGCAGTGCCAGCCTGGTAGGTGGCCCTGGGCCAGGGAGGCTGTTCTGGGGAGTCCAGTAGGAAAGGACTGAGGGGAACCCCAGGCCTCAAGAACCTGAAGGATAGAACTGGGCCTTGCCCTAAGGGGCTGCAAGGGCCCAGGTGCAGGAGTGGGGCTGGCCATGTAGCTCCAGCCTGCCGCCCCTGCAGCTGTCATAGGACTAGATACACATTTGGTAAGCCTAGGAACTAGGCTGGCGTAGAGCCCCAGCACAGTCTCAGGCCTCCCCAAGGCCCTCACAGCTGGGAAGCAGGCATGCTGCGGGCACCTGGGTCCTCCACAGCCTCCTGCTGGCCCTGGGCTGGAGAGGCAGGGGAGCAGGGCCTGTCTTGAAGGCTTCTCTCTCCTCATTCTTCTCTAGCTGCCCACCCTCCCCACTCAGGCCCCAGCAGAAAGTTAAAAATAGTTAGTTCCTACATAAAAAAAGAGACAAACATTCTCTGCCAAAAGGCCAGTAGGAGAAAGGGGGACCTTGTCTCTGAGTGGGATGGGTGGGGCGTGGGCAGGGGAGGACTGCAAAATAGTCTTTTCTTTAAAAAGTGCTTGGTAAGTCTGTTTTAAAGTGTGTGTCTATATCTATGTACAGATATACACACAGACACTGCACACGCTGGCCACCACGCACACCTGCACACACAAAGAAATGTATACATGTACATAAATATATATATATACATACATACATACATACATACATACATACATACATATATACTTTTAAAAGTCCTAGTGAGAGATCTGGGCCCAGCTGGGCCAGTCCTGCAGCGTCACGACTGGAGGGTGTGGGCCCGGCTGGGCTGGCAGACGGGGCATTCGCTGCCCTCGGCACAGAGCTCACACAGCACAGCATGTTGGCACGGCAGCACTGCTCGGGTCTGCTCCTGACACTTAAGGCATTTTACCGACTGCATGTGGAAAACAGCCTGCAGGAAAAGTGATGAAGAGGGGTCATGGGTGAGGTTTCTGCTGCCAGCTTGGCACCAAGTTGAGAAGGAGCTCCCTTGAGCCTCACTTCAGCCCCCCTGGGAAGAAGAAACTGAGGCACAGAAATCGACAGTGTGCTCACAGGACCCTGTCTGCAGTAGGGAACAGCGTTAGGATTCAGGCTGCCCGGCTCCTGACCACTGCCCTTCACAGCAGTTGCTGGGTGGTGACCCCAGGCTGGGACAGGGTGCTGGCTGCATTTCTCATCCCTCAGGGCCTTTCCTGGCACCTCTGTTAATGCCTGTTGTCTCATTTAATCTTACAGTGACCCTGGGTATCCACAGTGACCCTGGGTATCCAAGTGAGAAAAATGAGGCCTAAAGAGGACTGTCATAGCCAAGGGGCCTGGCTGTCCAGTGAAGGAGAAAATTCTCCTTCCATGGAAGACACTGCCCCTGGGAGCCCGGCAGGGAACCTAGGAACGCAGATGGGGCAGCCCCAGGGCCTGCACCACTCTGGAACGTGTGCGGGCATGTGGAGAGCTGCGTAAGGGTGGCGCACAGGGCCCAGGCACGTCAACGAGCTCAGGTCAAGGGCACCAGGAGTGGGTGCTGCCACCCCTACCCTGTGCTTTTGCCTCTTCATAAGGGTAACCTCTTCCTCGCCCTCTCCCAGCAGACCGGATGGTGACTGTTGGCCCAAGTTAGGCAGGGGCTCTCAGGAGGGGGGCTGTCCCTGGAGCAGCCTGGACTGGGTCTGGTCAGGGTCTGTGTGGACTGAGGCTACCATACACCCTCACCCAGTGCATCCTGGCCTCCGGGGCTGACCTTGTCCACTTGCTCCAGGTGGGCCCGCAGCTGCTTCTGGAGGGAGTAGAGGGTGGAGAGTGAAAGTGCCTCCAGGTCGGGGAACGTAGGCAGGGCCTGGGGGTCGGGCCCCGCGTGAAGCCGCTCCAGCTCCTCTTGGAGCTTCTTCACTCGCACCTCCAGTGCATCCCGCTGCTCCCGGGCCAGCTCGCACTCTGCACCTGCAGCACTGGCCCGCTCACCAGCCTCCTCTGCCTCCTTCTTCCAGGCATCACAAGCCTATGGGCCCAACACGCAGCGCCTCATCACGATGGCCCCCTGCCCCTGCCCCCCTGCTCCCCCAGAGAGCATCTCTGGGAACCTTTGTGAGCCATGCGGGCCGTGGGGCCTGCTGGGAAGCTGGGCTTGTGGTCTGGGGAGGGGGCAGAGAGGAGGCTGATGCTGCCTGCAGAGGAGAGGTTTCAGGACCTGCAGGAGACCCTCCCTCTGTGGGCAGGGAGAGGAAGGGGCACGACATCCTGGCCAGCCTACCCCCAGGGGCAGCTGGGTGATGGCTGGACACAGGGTCCATCTTAGAACCCAGAACCTGCAACCCTGGAGAGTGGGGACTTCCAGAAAGAAGCAGGTGGGCTTTCAGTTAGGGCTACATAAACAACTCCTGGAGCGAGTTCCAGGCCTGTGATACCAGTTACCCCAGTATCCCAACTAGCAAAGCCAGTCCTCCCACAGGAAAGAGGGCAAACAAAAGCTTTCATTCTGTTCTTAGAGCCCCAGCTCTCCTCGGCCACCCCCCACGCCCACTCTGGGTAGGATGGGCTTGGGCTGGGTGCTACCAGGCACCAGGGGTACCATGGACATGGGATGCTGTACCTGCTTGGCCTGCTTCCAGGACTCCTCCCACTGCTTGATGGTGCCATTGGCCTCGTCAAGCTCCTGTCGTAACCGGGTCAGCTCGGCAGCCCCAGGCCCTGAGAGGAAGGCAGGGGAGGTGCCTGGGGAGAAGCTTCCAGAAGCAAAATGTTCCCAGATGCTGCTGTTCATCCCATTAAGACCTGCGTCAAGGTGGGGTGGGGGGAATGTCAACTGTTCAGAGCCCAGGGGTTTCCTGGGGCCAGCTGAGCACAGGGCAGGTGTTCGAGGCCCCAGCCACATCAGGCTGGGTATTCTGTAGGGATATTTTGAGGGTTCCGCGGGCTGAACTGAACACAAACTTCAGGTAGCACTTGCTACTTAACAGCTGCCTCTTAAAGCATTCCCATGTGTACAAAGAGGTTCCCATTACTGGCCTCAGAGGATGACTCAGGAAGTTCTGCATGGGAGAACAGTCTGAAAGCTCCTGCTGGTGGCAATTTTTGACAGTGACTTACAGTTTAGCTAGGGCTCACCAAGCCTTCTTACATCCTACTGATGGGAAGAGAAGGAGGAAAAGCCATAGGCCAGCACTTCATATGATGGAAGAGCTGGGGTGGGAGATGCCAGGGAGCCCTGGGTCCCTTCCTGCATCTTACAGATGAGGACACTAAAAGAGAACATGCTACCAAGGATCACAGTAACGGTGGGTGACAGAGCGGGTTCCACGTGGGTGTTGAACTCCAAAGGCCTTCCTCCTCCTCACAAGCTAAACTAC